TGCATGTAAAATTTTTTGAATTGAGATCTTTGAAATACCCAATAATACTTCAATTTCTTGATATGTGACATGTCGATCTTCTTGGATCAGCTTATGTACAGCATCGACCTTTTCCTGCGCGACTGCCGTTATTGCTGAGGCTGTCCTTGGATCGTCGACAAGGCTAATCCGCCCACGTTTAAATTCGCCATACAAACGAAAAATTATCGACTGATCTGGTACTTCATTGCAGAAAACAGAAACCAGCTCAGCAAGGCATTCTTGTTGAAACAACTGTCTTCGAAAATTGTAAAAAATTATTGCGCTAATATTTTTTCAGCTTAACCCTTTATAGGGCCGTACTAATTATTTTCTAGTTGGATCAAATTGATTTCAAAAATCTATAAACCAGCACAAAGGGAGCATATCTTCTTAATAACATTTTTAAAAAATTTAAGAAATAGGGGATGAGAGAGGAGGTGGTCAATTTTTCAACCAAAAACTGTTAAACCAAATAGATAATATGTAATGATCTAATGCATAAACTGTATGTATCATCCAATGTAAGAAAAAAGAGTAAGTTCTTAACAGTAAGTTCTTCTTAACACTTTTGTTAAAGCCGTGAGACTGTATGATGAGTTATAACTCGTTATAACTCAAGAAAGGGGAACACACAATAGATCTGTAAGGTCGCGGTGATTAACTCCCCTCCTAAACATTCTACATTCTTTTTCTACATCGATATCCTTGTAGCATCAGCGATGTATGAGAGTTTATAACCTTGTATAAACTTTCTTCATATTATTACTTTATTGTTTGATTTTAAGGGAAATGTGCCAAGTGTTAAATGTAAAAAGTTCCAGGTCAATGACCAGATGGGCAATGCAGGAACGATGACTCCAAAAACTAATAAGGATTTTCGAATATTATAATTATGTATAATATTTAACTACTATAATAGCAACGCCAGTAAAATATTACTTTTTATAAAGGCTGTACTTAAACTGCCGTTAACCGGTAGCTTACTAAAATGCCGTTAATAGGTATGACGTCGTTGATGTGACGCACTTGACGGCTTTATAAAATATAGGAATTTTATAAGGACTAACCAACGCTATCCACCCCACCAAATAATCAACTTAACCAAAGCAACTAACCTCGACACTGATAAAAAATTGAACTGATGAAAATAAAAAATTGACACTGATAAAAAAAGTTGAAGAGGGCTGGGAAATGACAATCGATGATAATCTTGGAGAGGTTCATTCCTTGACGTCATTTACATGTTCCGTCCTCTATTTATTTTTTAACGACGCTTATTGCCAGTTGGCTTTAAGAAGGTTGTAATTTATATTTATATTGAGTAAAAATGACTTTTATTATACATAATATCATCGATTGTCATTACCCAACCGTCTTTGACGTCGTTTGTTGGATCATACGGTATAAAAAATATTTAGTAAAACCCTTGTTTATATATTCTTAAAGTTGGTCAACCTCTCGACAAAATGTGCTGCCTCTGGTGAACAAATCGTAAAGCTTTAAAAGAATGAAGCATGTGATTAGGGGCGGAGTCAAAAATATCGATTATTTGCGGTATTTCCCTCAGAGTAATGTAATAATATAGCTCGGATTTTTGCGAACTATAATAGGGCTCAGCTGATTAAGAAATTTAAACAAAACTATTATTTCATTGTTGATTTTCGATTATTTTTGCTGTTATTTTAAGGATTCTAAACCGTATTTAACAAAGAAATAACAAATTTCAATATATTGGTACATTAATGCTAATTACTGGTAATTAATAATATTTAAAAAAAGTTACATACACTTACTTTATTTCGATTTGACCCAGGGCTATAAAATTTTATTTCATTCTTCGATCATTTTATTCTAAATTGAGGTTTTACGAATTTAAGATAATTTTTTTTTTGAAAACAAAACGTTTATACAATTTTTTTCTTAATTAAAAATAAAACTTGGCACTTGTTTCAATAATATTATTTGACATTTAAATAAATATTATGTACTTAATACACCATTTAAAATCTTTATTACACGAAATCTTTCTTAGCGTAAAACATGGTCAGAGCCAAGTTTGCTTTAACTTTGTACCATATGAAAAAAAAACGGCGTCCAGTTGGCAGGGAAATGACGATCGACGACATTTCCCACATAAATTTACATATAAAATAACAGCGATCTTCATTTCATAGCCATCGCTGACGCCGTTTATTTTCGATCAAGAATTATAAAAACTGAAAATATCATTATGTTTTAACTCACAAAGCCCGTTAAACCATAAAATTTTCTAGTATATTGTTTTATTAGGAGTAAAAATGACACTTTTCGTGGCGAGACTGTAGGTTTGACATACAGCCGAAGCACAAAAGTCATTTTTACTCCGAATAAAACATGCTATTTTTTTCAAACGCCACAAATAATGTTTTAAACAATTTCAAACGTTCCAAATAATATAAAAATATTTAAAACTCTAACTTGTGGGCAATTATCATGATACAAAAAAAACAAGGTATGATATTGCGCAGGTTGGTCACCACGTCACAGGTGATAAACGGCAATATTGGTCGGCAAGCTCCACGCGCCAATTTCAAATTTTCAAACAGATGACACTTAATAAATGTGTATTATGTGTCATAACTTTTCAAATGTCCAGCTCGATGATTTTACATAACTTTAGGGGTTATTTAATTCTTCCCTATTTTAGGTCTTTTTTTATTAGTGGCAATTGAACAATACGGATATTTTGTTGTATAGCATATGACGTTACAGGCGATATGCGCAAACTGAACGAAATTCGAGACGCTATCGACCATACCTTGTTTTCAAGTTTGCTTTGTACCATGAGTAATTATATATCGAGAAACTATGGTTACGGCTCGTTGAATTTGAGACTTATGTCATTTTAATAATATATTTTGATACTTTTATGTTTAGGCGTAAAGTGCTTTACTTTTATGCCTAGGCGTTAAAATGACTTTTTTATATTGTCAATCACGTCGCAAAAATTAATACTTTTGTGACGTTTGAAAAAAATATAATATTTTGAAACTAACTGGTATATCTTTCTGCCACAACAAAGTTATTATACAGTGATAAATGATAAGATCATATTGAAATACGCTACTGGGTAAAAAAAATGGCTAAATTTTATCAATAACTCCATTTCAAAAGTTATTTTCCAAAATAATTAATATTTTTCAATAATTGATTGCAATTAATATTATTTGACTAGTTTAATTTGATTAATTAATAAGACTAGATTAATTTCATTTAAAATAAATTTGATCAGATTGTTTACGTATATTCACCTACCAGAAAAGTAGAAGGAAGATTATAATGTATCTATCACAACATTTAAAAGAACTACTACAATAATTATTAGAAGAAAAACAAAAAGAAAAAAATACCCAAATACCTTCACCTTCTACTCAACTACAAAATAAATGAATATAATCTCTTACAAGAACACTACACAAACTACTTCTTGTATTCTACACTAAACAAATTATCAAACTTATTAATTAATCAAACATAAAGAAAAAAATTAACCAAATTACTCCCCTTCACCTACTACTTAACTTCAAAATAAAATATAAAAACACTACTAAATTTCTTCTGGTAGTCTACACTAAACATTATAATCAAACTTAATAAATTAATCTAATTTTACATTACAACTACAAAGAAAAAAGAAAATATTTTAAAACTACAAGAAATAAAACTTCGATACGTGCGACCAGTATAATAGATCAAGCGGACAAAGAATATAAAATATTTTAAAATGTGCATTCAGAAAGAAAAAATACCTCGAAAATTATCTAAACAAACATTTTTTTTCTTATCAGTGAAAAACATCGACCTCGTCGGCCCTTGCGGAATTTGTCGGGGTATAAATATATACATATATATATATATATATATATATATATATATATATATATATATATATATATATATATATATATTAGTTATATATATATATATATATATATATATATATATACCAGCTTTATAGCATATCTAATAGACAAAAAGTATCTGGTCGATTAGTAACCAATTGGCACAGTCCGAAAATTATCGATTTTTATTTTCTCTGTCTTTATTGGCCGCTTCAAAATTCAAAGTAACAAAAATATTTTTCTCTAGTAAAAGACTGTGAAATACGCCCCGCCATCTGGTGCTTTACATCCATAAACGTCTTAGGTTGAGCTACTTTAAAAATCCATATACAAGGGTAAAACTCTAAATATACCAAATGCGTCTCAAAAGTAACTCTTTTATTTTTTCAGTTAAATAAACGAGATTTGGTAGGTATGTTAGTAGGTATATGGACATGAATTATTGAACGACATATTCAATTGTTTTCGGTCACTTTCTGTTTCACCGGAAATGACTAAAACTTTTGATTTTTAAATGACACCCTCGATATTTTTTACTTTATTCGATCGAAAATAACACTCTAAATAGAATGACATATCTTATGTCAACTTTTAACATTTTGGTATATGGTTTATTTGCAATTATAACATGCGAATCATAACGAAAATTTGACTCGAAATACCAAGTGTGTGGTATCAAATTATTCGTAAAAAATGCTTTTTCCAAATATACTAATGTACCACCCTTATTCCATTTGAAAAAATTGAGATATGATTAAAAATACGATTTGGGCATCTTTTCACCGGCCAGGACAAGACACTAAAAATATTAGACTTATTAGAGATTTTTCAAGGATTTTTTTTCTTGATTAAAAATTAGTGTTTTTAACATAACCATGGCACTCTAGATTGAAATCTAAAATACGGTTTTTTATTAAGCAAGAATGTCAAAAGTTGACATATATGATATGTCATTCTATTCAGAATGTCATTTTCTCTCGGATAAAGTAGCAATATACTGACGGTGCCATTTAAAAATCAAAAGTTGTAGTCATTTCCGGTGAAACAGAAAGTGACCGAAAAAAATTGAATACGTCAATCAATCCTAATTTATGTGATTTGCTAACATACCAAATCTCGTTTTTTTTATCTGAAACAATAAAAAAGTTATAGGGGTGAGCCACTTTTGAGATCCACCCAATATAAACCAGTAGCAAATTTTTAACCAAGAATGACCGAAATTCTACAAAAGTTATAATAAAAATTTATAAAAATAAACTATCGTTAAAATATTATAAGAAAACAAAATTAATCTTCATCGAGTTTTCTGCATTTTCTGTCAAAATCTAAAACCAAAGGTGGCTTACATGGGAGGCTGGCCAAATTTGGATTTCCCTAAAAATAAAATTTAATCAGATTTTAATATCTCTTATCATAAAATTAATAAAGAAAAAGATATTTCTTACCCCTACTATTAGAGGAACACGATCTTCCTGTGTAATATTAAACGGGATCTAAAGAAAAATAATTATTTCAATGAAATTGGCATAATTATGAAATTAAACGAATTTCGGACTCCCATTGTATTTATTTATTTTGATTTTTGATTTAGTCTCTACAATATACTACTCACCCCATTTACAAGGTTCACGTTTGCGGCGTGGTACGTCCGCACTGTACTGAACAGGACAAACTCCAATCCACCAGAGAGAAGAACAACACTGACAACACTGGTCTCACAGGAACTCCACCGACTAAATATGGATGTTGCCGCTCTTAGCGAAACCCGCTTTGCGGATTAAGGTAGTCTCACTGAGGAGCATTACACCTTCTTTTGGAAGGGTCATCCCGCAACACACAGGAGAATTCATATGGCGTGGACATTGCGATCAAAAACGAAATCTCCCCTAAATTAACAGAAGTACCTATTGGTGTTTCCGAACGTCTCATGGTCTAAGGTACGTCTAAGGTACCCCATATCAGACAAAACTTACGTCAACATCATTAGTGCCTACGCTCCCACCATAGACGCTAAAATTGAGGATAAGGATAAATTTTACCAAGCTCTACAAAATGCTCTCCAACGAATTCCAAAGCACGAACGAATCATCTAGCTAGGTGACTTTAATGCCCGTGTTGGCAAACAACAGGAAATATGGCCTGACGGAAAACATGGGATAGGAAACGTAAATAGTAATGGTGAACGCTTATTAACAACATGCATAGAGTATAATATTTGCATCACCAATACGTGGTTCATGCTGAAGGACAAGTTTAAAGGTACCTGGAAATGTACGGTAAGATCAGGCCATTGGCACCAACCGCATCACGTAATCGTTCGAAGGACGCATCTAAAAGATGTCAGTCTCACAAACGCCAGAGTAGATGCCGAATGTGGCACTGAGCACCGACTTTTAATTTCGAAAATGAAAATCCAGTTAAAATCCAAATATCCACACTGTAAAAAGCGAAGCTTCATGACCAGTTTGAACGTACGAGGTCTAGAGAACAACGATACCGCCGACGCCCTCCGGGAAGCCATCAAAGAATCACTTCCACCGATAACTTCAATCTCACTCGTGGACGCTGAACAAGACTGAACACAACTAAGCGATGCCGCGATTCATAAAACCAGCAAAGTAGTACTGGAAAAATCCAACAAAAAGAAACAACCAGACTGGTTTAACGAAAATCAACCGCATATACAGGCTTTGTTGGAACAAAAGCATAGAGCACATCAAGCAGTCACTGCAAATCCACACAATCTAAGGCTGGTAAAGAACTTTAAAGACGCCAACAACACGCTCTGAAGAAACCTGCGCCAACTAAAGGATAACTGGTGGTCGCAAAAAGCTAGTCGGATTGAAAAGTATGCCACGCATCACGACTATCGTAAATTCTTCGAGGCTGAAAATCGGAGAAGAACAACTGTTTGATTTCGGAAAAGGCCAATATCGACTCTGAAATTCAGCACAGGATTAGCAGCGCCACAAGAGCATTCTAGAAATTAAAAGACAGGGTTTTCTACAATCATGACTTGAGCACAAAAACGAAACTTGCAGTGTACCGAGCAATAATAATTTCCACCATGTTATATGGAAGCGAAACCTGGGTACCGATGCCGTACTGCCGACACATGAACGCATTAAACAAGTTGCAACAGAGACAACGTAGACAATTCTTAAGAATAAAATGGTCATCATGTCACAAACGTATCGGTCCTTGAATAAGTTAACTGCGAGAGTATTGAAGTCATGATTACAAAGTCCCGTTTAAGATGGGCTGTATGCAGAATGCAAGAAAACTGCATACCAAAATCTCTGCTTTACGGTGAGCTTGTAGACGGTAAGAGGAGGCTGGGTGGACAACTCAAAATATACAAGGATATTTTCCACGAAAACTTAAAGTGAATTAACAAGCAAAATGAGTGGGAAGAAGCAGCTCACAATAGAACGGAATGGAGAAGAATTGTAAAGTCAGTTAACAGCGACAACCAAAAAGTAAAGAGGCATCAAAGCAATGAGATTTTTGAATGTCTGGAGTGCGGTAGACAACTAACATCACGTATCGGGTCACAGAAAAGCTCATGAAAGAAAACGCCTTGCGAATTACCCGTCTGCAATTACCCGTCAGCGAGTAATGGCAGTATGTATGTATGTAATGAGTCAATTTTATAATCTGAAATCATTTTATCTAGGGATTTCTCAAAATAACCATGCTGAAACAAATCCGTTTTAATATTATTTGTAATATAAACAAAATAAATAAAGTTAATGGAAGTCCGAATTTTTTTTAGTTTCAATACTGAATCTGAAAATTGTATAGCATAGTCACAAATTACCTAAAAAACTTAAAATAAGTTTAACTCAAGTCGCTGTCTACCATATTCAAAAAAATATTAAAAATAAAACAATATACATAATACCACATAACACCCTTTATATACAAGGATAGGAGTTTACTTAAATATTGTATAAAAATTTCATGATATTAAATATCTATTAGATATCTTAATAAATAAATCTACCTATTATTTCTTTTAGTTGTATTATTTTACTTACCACCATTTCTCTAAGTTGGTCTTGTGATGTAATATTATCAGATAACTAGAAATAAAATTATACATAAATTATTTTAAAGCAACTTTAAAATATCTATGTTTTATAATGTATATTCTTGATTTAATAGCAATCACTTGAAGAATTTCAAATACTAAATGCACTTCTGAACAATTAACTTAATGTTTATGTTAATCAATGTTTCATTATACAAAAGATCTTCAAAATATATAATTTTAACTCATCAGGAAATAAGTATTTAGTTGAATTTTTATAATAAATATGTCAAGAATATTATTAAGCTCTTAGATAACTCTATTAATATATTATTATAAATAAAATATTTTATATAATAACTAGCGTGTACCAGCGACTTCGTTCGCGTCGAATTAATCATTTGTAATGGTGATGATAAAGCAAAGTAAAAATTTCCATTAACATACAAACTGGATAAAATTTTCTCACATTTATGTCAGCATAAGAAAAAACAATATGGCGATATTATTATACATATAACTTGGTAATATTTGAGGGGTAGTTTCATCTCGTTAGAATTTGACTTTCGAAAAATTCGTTTGCCAAAAAATAAGCTTTTTACGTCAAGCAGTTTAAGCAGAATCGTGGTTAAGAAATTACCCAACTTTTTGGAACAACCTGTATGATTTTTTTTTAAAAATTTCAAAATATGCAAAAAAAAACAAATAAATTATGCTTGTCCGAGCGTTTTCCCGAAAGACCAACCGTTTTTTAAATAACAAATATTGTAATATTTGAGGGGCGTTTTTACCCCCTTGGAATTTGAGATTCGAGAAACTCCTCCTTATCGAACCTCTACACCCCACAGTCAATCCGTTTGCCAAAAAGCAGCTTTAAACGTCAAGCAGTTTAAGCAGAATCGTGATTACTCAATGGTCATATTTTATGAAACACCCTGTATAAATTTATAAAAAATCTTAAAATATGTAAAACAACAAAATAAAATATACGGGTTTAATAGTTTTTCCGAAAAACTCACCGGTTTTTAAATAAAAAATATTTTAATATTTGAGGGATAGTTTCACCCCCTTAGAATTCGAGTTTCGAAAAATCCCTTCTTATCGAACCTCTACACCCTAAAGTAAATCTGTTTTCCAAAAATCAGCTTTTTACGTTAAGCGTTTTAAGCAGGATCGTGATTAATCAATGACCAGATTTTTCGAAACATCCTGTATACATTTTTAAAAAATCTTAAAATATGTATAAAAACAAAATAAAATATACGTGTTTAAGCGTTTTCTCGGAAACTTGACCGTTTTTTAAATAAAAAATATTGTAATATTTTAGTGGTGGTTTCACCCTCTTGGAACTGGAATTTCGAAGAATCCCTTCTTATCGAACCTCTACACCCTAGAATCAACCTGTATGCCAAAATTGAGCTTCTTACGTTGAGTGGTTTGAGCAGGATCGTGATTAATTGGTATGTCAGTCACCAGTCACTTAAGGATTTTATATATTAGTATAGATATGAATTCATAGATCAATACCAATTTGTAATCAAAGTGTTGGAAAAATTGTATAGACATCAACATAACTGAAATATATGTATTTAACCAACAAGAATATTGTAAAATGTTTAACTAGTTAATAAAGTATATTTAAATACTAATAAAATATTTATTAAACAAAAACTTACTATGAAAAAGGTTATATTTCCTACAATTCCTTCTTTTTGTTCCTCAGATACTGGATAACCATATGTGTTATTAATTATCACTAGTATGCTTATCAATATAAAATTGTATCTCTCACTGCCATTTTATTAAATTTTACAAGCAAATAGTACGGAAATATCTTATAGATTAGTTACAGTCTGTGTATAATATTATTATGATAATTTTAACATATTATTAAACCTGATCATATACCCGGTATGAATAGAAAATAGTTCTATAGAATTTAAAATGTTTTTCCTGTTATTAAATAATTTAAATTTTAAATTTTGTAATTGTTTTCTTAAAGTTCATTAAGAGTGCATAAGAAAAGGAATATATGTAGTATTGAATTATACATATATATATATATACAAATATATTCGGTATAGGTGTATTAAAAAAAAACTTTTTACAATTAACTAAAATTAATATTATATAAATATACAGGGTGGTCCGAACTGTATTCCGAAACTTAAAGTAAAAAAGTAAAAAGTTCGTATAAATATATGTCCTAAAATGCTTAGTTTCGAGATAGAGTGTAGACGTTTCATTTTTATTTAGGTTTTTCCACATAATTTCTGAAGTAACGTCAATATTTGGATGATGTGTTTTAACTGTTTTGAAGAGTAATAACTTTTCGTCCATACCTGTATAAAACTACTGAGTGAAAAAATTTAAATTTTCATGACTTTTCACGTAAAAAATGTCTCTTGGTAACCGTTCTCAATATATTTAGAATGGAAATAGTCAATACATGTAATTATTGACAAAAAAATAAACACGTTGAGTAGATAATTTTTTGACTGAAATGAAAAATTTGGGAAATGTTTATTTTTTTAAATTAATAATAATTTTTTCTGCAAAAAATGATAAAACAGTTTCTGTTGAACTTTTGTCACAAAAACATTCCAAATTTATGATTTCAGTCTAATAAATATTTAGTCAACATGTTTACCCATATAACACACAATATCCGCAGGATATTCATAGAATGTCGGAATGTCCCATTATAAGATCATCTTATAAAGTCATCTATAGGATATACTCCAGACATCCTGAAATCCTGTAGATGTCTCAGAATAGAATATCCTATGGATATCTCTGTCGTATATCTAATGTACATCCAGCTGAGATATCCAAACGTGCTCATGATAATAAAATATCCTAACAATATCGTCTAGATATTTAGGAAAAATAAATAATGTACTACTTTTTATATTACATAAAATGCAATAAACCATACAGATAGATATAGATTACGTCAAGGCAACAAAATATCCTGTTGGTATCTTCTGGATAATCTGGATATTTATGAGCTTGGCCACTCCCAGTAATAGAGAGAATTTAAAACGCCCGCCCAAAAAAATTCTCACAATCCATCTCGACAGTTGTTTGATTTTGCATCGTGTGTTATTCAGTTCTTTGATTTAGTGAAATTCGAGGTGAATTCGGTCGTTTGTCGATATTGAATGGGCTTAAAAATGACTGAAACTAACAAAACTGGTTGAGTTTGACTTAGTTTTTTTCTTATACTCATAGTTCTAGCCTTGTTCTAGCAGAAATTCTATCCTAACCTCAACTAATGTCGAAAAACGACGAACGACTCAAGGTCTCACAATGAAAAATTTGTGACAAAATTATAGGTGAAAATTTGTTGAAAAGCGCTTGTTCTTTATCCCTAAACCCATTTTCGTGTTTGATCTATTCAAACAGAAATCCTATTTTTGTGTTTAAATTGTGAGTTTATGGAATGTGTGGTGTTAGAAATTATACCTGTATCCTGTGTGCTAACTTTGATGTAAACTGTTGCTGCTAGACATAAACTGCTAGACTCCATAAAGGGTAGTATAAGCTTTTTTCGGGTTCTTGTTATTACCGATTCTGAACCGTCCTAGAACTCGGCAGCGCATGCGCAAATGAAATAATGTCTTCATATTTCCTTCTGCGCATACGCATCACAGTTCTGGGACGGTTCAGAATCGGTAATAACAAGAACCCGAACAAAGCTATAATCTGGTATACCATACGATCGAAAAAAACGGCGTCAGAGGTGGCTTGGAAATGAAGATTGCTGTTATTTTGTATGTAAAATTATATGGGGAATGGCATCGATCGTAATTTTCAAGCCAATTGAACGCCGTTTTTTTTTTTCAATGGTACAGTATAAATTGGAAGCTCTTAACTCATACAAATAAACTTCTAAATTTTGATGCAAAATTCATTGACATAATATGTAGGTATATTTTAGAGCTGTTAATAAAAATATCCAATGAATAACGTCAAAATGTGACTAAATAAAACCCTTAACAAGGATAAAACTAAATCGCGAACGTTTTTACTATAAACTATGAAGAGTATTGTCAATAACAGTCCTCATATAATGTCCTAAAAATATTCTATAATGCTCCCAACATGTATTATCCTATAAATAACGTAAATAATCGTAAAAGGCTTGCCTAGGGATGTCTTGAAGATGACTCTTTTGTCCCATCTGGATATCCCATAAATATCCTCCTCTGGTTTTTGGATATCCCTATAATATTTACTATATCCTTGGTGGATATCCTCAAGATATCTATAGAATTGTGTTGTGTTATATGGATAGTGTATGTCAATGATGACAGGTATTGATAATTTCGATTCCAAATATCTGGAGAACCAGACTTTTACTAAGAGACCTTTTTTACATGAAAAGCTTCGTAAATTTATATTTTTTTATTCAGTAGTTTTATACAGGTACTGACGAATAGTTATTATTACTCTTCAAACCAGTTAAAAATTATGTTGGTGGCGCCCTCTACAAGTAGGAGTCATATTAAGACCATCTAATTTTCCATGTCAAAAAACTCCCAAACACAAATTTTCATTGAAATATTGACGTTATTTTAGAAATTATGTATTTGGAAAAAATCGAAATAAAAATGAAACTACTTACTACACCCTGTATCTCCGAAACTAAGCATTTTAGAACATACATTTATACAAACTTTTTTACTTATTTTTATTTTCTGAATATGATGTCGAAGTTTCCGGAATACAGTTCGGACCACTTTATATATGACTATGTAATACCAATAAAATATTTGAAAAAAAATTAATCTATACGTTTTCTGCATTTTCCGTCAAGTCCTAAAACCAGAGATGGCCTACACGGGGGGTTGGCCAAGTTCGGATCCGCCTAGAGACAAACAATTTCATGTGATTTAAATAGCTATTATCTTAATAAATATATATACACGTTTATTTTACCTCTATTACTGTCCTTATCCTTATTGTCTTATGTTGTTCTCCTGATCTAAAATTATCAGGTACCTAGAGAGAAAAAAAATATTATAAATATTTTCGAGCCACCGGATTTTTTTCTGTATTTGCGTCCCTTTTATTGCCGTAACCATAGAGTAAAGCCGTAACTATGGTAATATCTGAGATTAAGGAATTATACCGTGGGAAAATTGGCGGTGAAAAGGCAGTTCTAAAAAGTTTTCGAAAAATATACAGGGAAATTAAAAGAAAATGCAGGATTTTCAATATCATTTTTAAGGGATAAAAACCCCTAGACGTGTTGCTGGGGTCGAAATATACCACCACCGAAAATATTTGCACTTATTTAAGACTCATCTTGTATAAGGCTATAACTGAATGGTATTCGTATCCAAATGCATGAAATTTACATAAATTAAGCCACACATCTTATGATAAATAGCAGCAGTTTCAAACTAGTGATGGGATCACTCGAGCGAAAATTCGCTCGAGTACTCGATTATTGAAATAACCATACATACTCGATAAAAAGCCGAGCGAATTTTCTACATACATTGCAGGTAGCAAATTTATACGTTTTCCGTTGCGTATCTGTGTGACAAAATTTTACGACCTACATCGACAATGCTTTGAAATAAACTAAATCAAGCGAATTAAGCCGGGACCCCATTAGGTAATACGCCACGCCACGCCACCCCACGTCATAAAGATATATGCGTATCTTTTTCCATTTAATTACATGTATTAAATCATTGTATTAACGTATACACTAGGCAACACGCCACACCACGCCATCACACCTGTGATGGGTGATATGTCTGTCCCAGATATCATGTGTACACTCTTTCCTACGTCGCAAAACGTGGGCTCATGTGGGATAGCGTGGCGTCGCATGTAGCCTAATGGGGGCTAATCCCGGTATTACTCGTCGCTTGCTACTTGCCATTCATCACCGAAAGAATATGTGCTCTGCGCACGCAACTTACTGCTTGGCGTTACCAGTTACGAGTACAACAAACGACGCGCGACGGGCAAAAAACTGTATTTTTAAGTACGAGCGATATTTCGCTCGAGCGTTCGCTCGATTATTGAAATCGTTTGAAACTCGAATACTCGATTATTGAAATTAATCGGTTTTTTCCATCACTATATAAAGCTGCTAGTAGTGATAATTAAAAATATGAATAAAAACACAATCAAATTTAAAATTTTTATTTCTAATACAAGTGAAGAAATAGCAAACAAAATATACTAAGTCAATCTAGTAATCTGACGATACTATATTTTCGTGTTTAAATAGTAACGATTTTACTTTCCAAAAAGTTTAAGAACATTTAAAGAAGAATTCTTCATATTGAAGAAGATTCGTTGTGTCTCTGAAAGTATAAATAAATATAAAGTTTTACGCGTCGTATTTGTCAAATTTGAAATTTTAGAATTCGAAAATTGTAAACTGGATGAGTCGCTTAAAATGATTCTGGAAGATTTCATTCTTAAATACACTGAAAGTATAAATAAATATAAAGTTTTACGTATATTAAATCGAGATTTAAAATATATAGAATATATATATATATATATATATATATATATATATATATATATATATATATATATATATATATATATATATATATATATATATATATATATATATATATATATATATATATATATATATTTGTGAAATTAGCTTAAATATGTCTACCGGAAGTTGCTAAAATATGTGGAAGTTTCGATTTAAAAAAAATCAAGATAGAGTTGTATCTATCAAAATTGACGTTTCAAAAAATTTTCAGATGAAATCGGCATCCTCGAAAAAAAATACATTAAAATATCTTTTTACTATCTTAAAATAGGAAACAGGAAAATTTTAAATTGGGTGAGACACTTAAAATGATTCTGGAACATTTGGTTTTTAAATGCACTGTATATCGAAAACTGTAAG